ATCAGATCTCCCGAGCTTACAACAAAAAGGTAAATCCTAGGGCTTTTGAACTCGGGGACTTGGTCCTCAGACGCGTAATGGGGTCGGCTAAGAACCCAACGCATGGAAAGCATGCAAACTGGGAAGGACCACACAAGATAGCCCGAGTAGGAGGCAACGGGTATTATAAACTCGAAATCATGGACCAAAGGGCAGTGTCGTGCCCTTGGAACATTACAAACCTAAGAGAATTCTACTTCTAAGAAGCACCTTTTTTGAATAGAATTCTGAAATGCCTTTGGAAAATTTAGCGTACCTCTTAAGAATCAAATTGTACCGATATGAGTTGAGGTTATTAATAAAGGTTTTTAGAAAATTAATTTCCATACTCCACTTCTTGCTATATACAAATTCTACTACTAAGGCAGGGAGGCTAAAAATCTTGATAGAAGTTGTAAACTTAAATTAGGCACAGCCACCCTATCTGATCTAGGCCCTCAACTAGGCATGACGATGCAAGCTGATCAGGGATAGATTCGAGTCTAATCAGATTGGTAGGTCAGTGCAAAGTAGAAATACTCTTAGATCCCCAAGAGGACTAGGAGTAACTCTACTGAGGGACCGAGCTCTATGAGGAAGGGCCGAGCAGTGCCATAACTTCAAGAGTCACACCTTAAAGAAGGGCCATAGTTTCAGGCATTACTAAAATTTTTCTAGGTAATCAAGGTCCATATTAAGGGACCTAGCTTTTTGAAGAAAGGCCGAGTAAGGCCATAACTTCAAGANACTAAAATTTTTCTAGGTAATCAAGGTCCATATTAAGGGACCTAGCTTTTTGAAGAAAGGCCGAGTAAGGCCATAACTTCAAGAGTTACTAGAATTTTTCTTGGAATTAAAGATNTAGCATATGGGATGGAAGTTGTTATTCCATTGGAGATCGGCTTACCGACCTTAAGGATCAAGCTGGTCGAAAGTAGCATTAATGACGATGTCATCATACGAGATCTTGATCTGGCAGAGGAAAAGAGAGAGCAGGCTGCCATAAGAATGACTTTATATCAGAATTAGATGTCCTGAGCCTATAACAAGAATGTAAACTCTCGGTCTTTCACACTTGGAGACCTAGTGCTCAGGCGATTATTGAGATCGGCTAAGAACCCTATCCCTCGGAAGCTCGGAGCAAACTGGGAAGGTCCATACAAATTAGTCAAAGTTAGGGGCTGCGGGTATTACGAACTCGAGACCTTGGATCATAAGGCAGTACCGCGCCCTAGAACATTGTGAACCTTAGAAAGTTCTATTTCTAAAAGGTACATTTTTAAATAGAACTCCGAAGTACATTCAAAAATTTAAGGGTACCCCTTAAGCGATGGTGTATTAACAGCGAATGTATTATGTCAAAGTTATCAATAAAAATTTGAGGATTCTTTTTTTTACACTTGCTTTGCGTTATATACGTCCTACTGCTAAGGTATGGAGGCCAAAAAATTTGATAGAAGTCAAAAGCTTAAATTAGGCGTAGCCACCCGATCAAATTCAGGCCCTCAACTAGGCATGACAATGTAAGTTGACTTGAGATTGGTTTGAGTCCAATCAAATTGACGGGTTGGTGCAAAGTAGAAAAATCTTAGATCTCAAGGGGACTTTGAGTAACTTTATTGAGGAACCGAGCTCTTTGAAAAAGGGGCCGAGCACGAGCCAAAACTTCAAAGAGGTTTGAAATTTTTTCTAAGTATAAAAAGATTCCTGCTAAGGAACCAAACTCTTTGAAAAAGGGCCGAGCAAGGGCCAAGACTTCAAAGAGGTTTGAAATTTTTTCCAAGTATAAAAAGGTTCCTATTGAGGAACCGAGCTCTTTGGAAAAGGGCCGAGTAAGGGTCAAGACTTCAAAGAGGTTTGAACTTTTTCAGAAGTATGAAAAGGTTCCATTTGAGGGACCGAACTTTTTGAAGAAAGGCCAAGCAATGACCATAACTTCTAAAGCTACAAAAAAAATTTTCAAGTATAAAGGATCCCTACTAAGGGACTGAGCTTTTCGAAGAAAGGCAGACCAGAGGCTATACCTCAAGAGCTGAAAAGCAAATAGGGCTTAGATTTCAAAAAGTCATTTTTTCTCAAAACATATAGCAAATTATAGAACTAAAAGGCCAAAAAGTGTTTCGTATTCATACTTCAAAAATTTTTACAAGGTCATTATCATTGAACAGGTACATTAGAAATTTCAAAAATGTCTGAAGGAGTATGAGGATGAGAGGAGCTCGGAGCTTAATATCCCAAAAAGAGTTTGAACATAGAGAGGACCCTTGCAGCAACTAGCGCAACACGCCATCCCTTGCTGAAGAAAGCATCTTGAAGTTGAGGGATCTGCAAGACAAGGTCACTTTCCACTTTCTCTACTCCTTCGTCGTAAGCTACATCTTCTTTCTCTTTTGCCTCAGACTTGTATTAATCAAAATCTTCAAGGAGGGTAGAATAGTCAAGCTGGGATTGAGAAAGTTCTACGCTAACTTCGTGCTCGGACTCCTTGAGCTTCCCAACCTCCGAAGAAAGCTTTTGGTTCTCTTCTGTCGGGCTTTAGTTTTGAGCCTGTAGAACCTTCACTTCCTCGCAGAGCTTTGCAAACTCTTCATCCACACTCTCCGTCTTGGCCAGAGCCGAAGCTCAGGCATGGATGACGTCTTTCATTGCCTTATTTTTTTGAGCTATTCGAGCTCTGACCTCATGAACTTTTTGCAGACCCTTATGAAGGAGGAAAAGACTTAGACAAATTTTTAGAAAGAGTAAAAAGCTTAAAGGAAGTCAAAATCAAGACTTACCAGACCATATGTTGAATTGCTTGATAAAACACTTCATTGTCAGTAAGAGCCTCATTCATTGCCAGATCCCGAGGTAGAATCACTCCTCGGGCAATCCCCACTACAATATTAAAATCTTCTATTGCAGAATCCTTGGTAGTGATTTTCCTCTTTTTGGCCCTAAGAATTGGTCGGAAGGGAGGGTTGGAAGACTTGGGTGGAAGACTCGCTTCGGACTCGGTTGTCCTCCTCCTTTTAGGGGCAGGGTCTTCGATGAGCTCAAAGATTGAGTCATCTTCTTGAATATGGGAGTGAACAGGCTCTAGAGTATCTATCTCAGCATGAACAGAAGTTTCAATAGCTGGAGCCAAATCGGCTTGGTCATCTAAAGGCAGACCTGCATCATTGGCTTTCGAAAGGATCACTTCAGGAAAAGCTTCGGTAGTTGGTTCGTCAAGAACAGAAATCAAAATAGCTAAAGCAGTTGGAGTCGGTTCGGTGGAAGGAGTCGGCTCAACAGTTGACAGAAAGTCTAAGAAATTTCTCACAATCCTGCGTCCAGAGGCTGCTAGGGAAGGTCTCTTTTTTGCTCGGGGTGTCTTATCCCGAGCAACTTGTATAACCTCCTGAGCTACTGCAAGTGTTGCATTGGGTCGATTCAATACAGCAATAAAAGATGTGTAGTTTGGTGTGTATCCAAGCAGTGTATGGGCAGCACGACAGAACAAGGACTTGTTGAAATCCCAAACCTTCTGAAGTTGGTCCAACTTAACAGAAGACTCAAAAATCTTGCCTTTTATTGTCTCTCCTACATAAGCAATATATAAAATCCAAGAAAAAAAAGTGCAACGAATATTTCTTGAGGAAAAGAAGATTCATGTACTTGGTGTGCCTTCTTCATAAAGGCAACGATAAGAGGGGGAGGCTCCAGCAGGGTACTCCCAATTTTCAAAAATGAACAAAATGTCATTTTCATGACCTTTGTTCGAATCTGGAAGATGGGTGACCAGATAGCGGTCTTTCTTCCTCACCAAAAGATAGTAGCTATCTAAAACAGCTTTGATGATATAGCAGTATAGGATGTCCCATAAACCGAGACTCAAACCTAAAATTTTGTTCAACGCAGACACCCCCATGACTAACCTAAAGAAATTGAGGCAGCATTGGAGGGGGCAGAGTTTTGTAGCAGAGAGAACCCAGAGAATAAGAGGATCGAGGGGAAAACGAATTCCACCCTCAGTAATAGCACGAGTAGGATGTGGATTCTCTCTCTGGTGCCAATCAAGGGTTCATCCTTCCCAGCAACCCTAACCTCAACATCGTCTGGGATATTGTATTTGATTTTGAAGGCAGGAAATTCTGAAGGTGTGAGAGGAGCCATAAAGAAGATGGAGTGCAAAGAAAGAAAAAAACAGAAAGAAAAGGTTATAAGTCTGAGAGTTTGGAAGTAGAAAAGCGAAGTGAATAAAATATAAAGAAAGTCGGTTTATAAAGAGAAAGGAATTTTAAAGGGCAATATTTAAATACACTGAATGTGCCGCCAAAACAAAGGGGGATGTTACAAAGTATAAATAATGATGATAAGGAGAGAAAACGGCTGACAGACGAAAAGCGTCAGTCAGACATTTTTTGGGGGCAAATGAAGGGGTTAAACCTCATGATTACACGTGATATGACATTAAATATGCTCACGTGATGTTGACGAGGTAAGGCACGTGATGAAGAATTTTCTATTAAGCCTTCTAATTAAGCCGAGCTAAGGAGAGGTTCGAAAAACAAACAAGAAGTTCAGTTCTCTTTATGACTGAGCTCATCAATCTATTCAGAAAAGAAAAGAAAGAGCTCGGCTTGTACCAAGCCGAGCCTATTAAAGTATTCGGGAAAGCGATCAAAGAGAATGGTTTGTGCCAAACCAAGTCTCTAAAACTGTTCGGCGAATATCAAAAGTGCTTGGTGTTCGATATATCTGAGCTATTCAAAATGATAGATGGAAAGATAAAAATTCGCCTATAACTTAGGCAATCAGATAAATGAATCAACAAAATTATAGATATCAGGAGAAATTGTTGGAGAAATATCAACAACTTCCCAAATTAAATGACTGAATTGAAGGAGGGTGTGTCACCTTGAATCAAAAATCAAGGAAACCCTAAGGGGATGACCATCTATAAAAAATGGAGGGATCCAAGGTGAAAGGTACGCTGAACTCTCTTGGTCTTCTTCCATTCATTTCATTATCTTTACTAACTTAAGCATTGGAGTGTCTTCGATCGTAACACTTCGNACAAAAGAAAGACATATACCAACAAAAGGCCTTCCATCTGCTGTTTGAATCCAGACGTCTCTTTCAGAACCACTATCATAAACAAAGTAACCCTCTTCATATTTGATCCCGGGGTCAAGCATCCAGATTGCTTTGAAACCAGTCTGATGAAGATCTTTTACCAAAGATTGTGGATCTGGAAAGCGCTCCTGGGAGAAACCAAAACATCATAAAGAGCCCTTTTTTCAATGATCCATGATTAGACTGTAAGCAAATCAAATGTGATACAATACATTTCAATTATAACATGGCTGACATCTCCATAAATTTGAAGCATACATAATAATGAATTGCATGGCACACGAACTACCATCATCCATCCTACATGAAGCATAGTCCAGATGAACACAAAAACACCAAAATTCAAGTTTTGACATTTGTGTATAATATGCATATATCGAGTTGAGGAATTTTTTATTTTTTATTTTTTTGATTCAACGGTAAAGGGTGTCTGGGCCAACTTCCGCACACCTCGATTAACCCTTCTCCGGTCCAGTCAAATACAAATCATCCACATCGAGACTAGAGTATTCATAATGGATAAATCTCTCGTGACTTAGTCCCAAGGGTTTAGTCAAGATTCGAACTCAGGACGTCTGAATTTACAACTTGTCTTTGTTATCACTTGAGCTACCCTTTGGGGTAAAGTTAATGAATGACTTATAGCATCCTTGTCAATTATATAAAGACAATTATATCATATTTTTTAATTTAACTCTTAGACAATTCCTATTATAGGAATAAATGAATAAATCTTTATTTATATATATATTATATCTATCTATAGAATTTTAAAAATGTCAACAAAAGTGAAAAACTTTTAATTAACTAAAAATATATCCATTATTCAAATAAAAATACAAATCACATGAAAAAAGTAATCAAAAGACACAAGAGTTAATTTCTACAGTTTCCACGTGTAAATATGGCAATCCAACAGTCAAGAAAGTTGGACCAACATTATTCATATGTAACTTCTCATCTCCTTGGAAAACCCGAGAAGGTAGAGGGCATCAAAAACCTACCATTTGGAAATTAGATAGTCATGGTGTCGCTCCAAATTCTTATAAAAAATTATTTAACCTTTGATTTTACCACCACTAAAGTCTCATAAAAGTTTCCAATTTACAACTCTTCAACTTTCCCCATTAGGGCTATAAAGCTCTANCAATTGTGGATACTTGCCTCTAAAAGTTTCTTGTTTGACTGCTTACCTTTTTCGCTGACAGCTACTAGAAGGATTGCAAAGCTCTCTGATCATCTCAAAAATTCCTGCTGCTTCACATGACAGAAGTCAGAAAAGCCAGAACAGGGGTACTTCTAAAGGTAAATCGTAATGTTTCAAATATGAATGAGACATTTTTATGTGATGTGCACATTCTTTAATGGTTGTTTGGTTGCAGCTGATTGTAATTATGTTTTGATTTTTGTACTAGGGAATAGTCATGATTGAGAGGAGCTTTCATACTGACAGAATCTTGACGGCAACACCCAGCATATGCGTGTGTATATTTATAGTAGAAGAGATAATTAGGAATGGAAATTATCGGTTCCTGTTGCTTCAGCTGTAAAATTTAGTGGGTAGATGGTGATATTGGTTCTAGTTCCTCACACAATTATGATACAATCACCTTAGGTTCACCGTGTTCGGTTGTATATGGAAATTCTCCATGTAGTTGGATTAGAAGTGCAGGATGGTTTTGTTGATGATCGATTACATACATTTTGCAGTTTCAATTAATCATTTCCCCTGCTTTTCCAAACCCCCTTTTTTTTCCAGATATTATGCCTACTTGGTGCATGTCGATGTTGCATTACTTTCTTCAAGTCTTTTGTGGAGGTAATGATTCAGTCGTCGTGCGCAAGACCTTTACTCATCTGTCCCTTGGTTCGATTGCAAGAGCAACACAGATTTGCTTTACCGACTGAAAAACGTGAGCAAAACACTGGTATTACCTGATCTAGCAGTATGGTGGCCTCGTTAGTCTACATTAAATTATGCTGTGATAGTCGACTAATGACCATATTTTTGGGTTTTCTCCACACAATCGGGCGGAAAATAGTCACCGTTCTATTGCAATTAATTTTATTATTAATCTATACTATTTTAAAAAGTCAGCATATGTGAAAATCATTTTTTTTTTCACTTTTGTCTCTAAAACTATAACTATGTCATCCTTATCCTTCAAAATTAATGTCACACTAATTTTTTCTTTCTCTTTTATCCTCAAACAATTACATAAAGACAGTTATATCATATTTTTTAATTTACTCTTAGACCATTCCCATTATAGGAATAAATGAGTAAATCTTTATTTATATATATTCTATATCTATATCTATATTATATCTATCTATACAATTTTAAAAATGTCAAAAAAAGTGAAAATTTTTTAATTAACTAAATATATATTCATTATTCAAATAAAAATATACTTAAAAATATATTTCTATACCACCTAAAAATATATCCATTATTCAAATAAAAATACAAATCACATGAAAAAAGTAATCAAAAGACATAAGAGTTAATTTCTACAGTTTTCACGTGTAAATATGACAATTTAACAGTCAAGAAAACTAGACCAACATTATTCATATGTAACTTCTCATCTCCTTGGAAAACCTGAGAACGTAGAGAGCATAAGAAACCCACCATTTGGGAATTAGATAGTCATGGTGTCGCTCCAAATTCTTATAAAAAATTATTTAACCTTTGATCTTACCACCACTGAAGTCTCATAAAAGTTTCTAATTCACAACTCTTCAACTTTCCCTGTAAGGGCTATAAAACTCTCTATCCTCCTCCTTAGAGAATGAGCTGTGACCCCAAACCTTTGCCCCAATTTAGCTTTAGACATTATCTATCTCCCTATCTATCTATCTATCTATCTATCTATCTATCTAAGATGGCACCTCCTCTTCAACCAGATATGAAGGAAAGGAAGAAGGTGGATTGAGAACAAGAAATATTATTTAGAGTCTCAGAATTTAAAGTACATACATCTGCAATGCAAAATTTCGATCACTCCCAAAACAAGCAATTCGACATAAAAAAGACTCAAATGTCCAATTTAATTGTAGAAAAATTTCAATTTTTGATTGTTTTTTCCATTTTATTCTCTTTTGTTAGTCCTTACAGATGACCAATGGTTTGGACCTTTAGAACCATAATAGGAAAGATAGACCAATTAGTTTTGTTGTTCTGACCAGCNAATGGTTTGGACCTTTAGAACCATAATAGGAAAGATAGACCAATTAGTTTTGTTGTTCTGACCAGCGCAAATGAGTTAACATATAATCTTTTAAAACGATGAAAATGGCAACCAATAGTTTCCTCGTGTGTGGCAAGCGAAGAGTGCAAGTTTAATGTGCAAGTGATGTTGGTGAGTAAGTGAAAATGTAGTGTATGAATGATGTTGGCGACTGTTATTACAGATTTGTAATCTTTCAATTTTTTTATTGGAAAATTATTGAAAAAATTCTCAACAACGTAATTACTTGTCCATTCTATCAAAGTTTGTAGATGTGTTTCGGTCAAGCTATTCAAGAGGTATCGGTTGGTATTTTAATCAAGGATGACGTTGTATGATTGACATTTTATTTTTTGGCCCTACTAAATATCTAAATGACATTAACATCCTTTTAACCCATCAAATTTG